TCCACTTCCTGCCCCAGAGAAGTAAAGTCAGATGCTACAGACCCTGTGGTTCTCTGGTGGACCTCTGTCTTGCTCTGCTTTCTCTGGACTCTGTAATGATCTCATACCTTGATGATGATCTCAGAGGACAGGTAGGCCAACAGACAGCTGTTGTCATCAGTGTTCTGGATTACATCTTACTCCTCTTTCTCTGACTCATTGATTTATCTAGGGTCCTCTTAGAGTTAGGACCCAGATCAAAGAAATTTGAATTTATCTGTCTGTCTCTATCTTTTTTTCCTCCCTCTTGTTTCCTTTTGGATAAGGCAAGCTATCAAGACCATGAATCACACTTTTAGTTTTATTAGACAGTGCCAAATTATAGAAAGATGAGTCTCATAGTTGTTTTTTTTTTTGAACTTCACTTTTATGATTACCACATGCATTGTTTTTGAAAGGATTTTCTTTATAATAACAAGAAAAAAAAACAATAAAAACCCCTGCTCTGCCATCCACAACAAAAACCATTTTTTTCTGTATTGTTCTCAACAAACTAAAGGGCAATATCAGGCTGAGCTTATGGTATCAGGACTGTTGGGCATCCTTAATCCCATGGTAGTCACTACTTACATATGTTTATTTAAAATGAAAGATCACATTTCTCCTCACTCAGAACATACCAGTGGTTCTCATTCACAGAAAAGACTCAAGTCCTCATGGTGCCTACAGGATTCTACATGACCTTCCCCCCACTCCTGTGACTCTCTGACTGCATCTCCTCCGGCTCCCTTGGTTATTCTACCCCAGCCATAGTGGCCTCTTCGCTATCCCTGCACATCTTAGGGGATTCTCCTATTTCATGGCTTGTGTACTTGAGGTTTCTTGTACCTGGAGCACTTTTTGCTGGGTAGCCTCACGGCTTGCTTCCTCACCTTCAGATCTTTGTTCAAGTGCCACTTACTCTGTTGGGCCTCCCCTGACCCATCCTATTTTTAAAGATCCTGCTTTTATTTTTCCTCATACCAGTTACAGAAGACGTGATTGTTTGTTTATTGAATATTGTTCTCTCCCATCTAAAATCTAAATACTTCAAAGTAGGGGGGGTTTTCTTTTGTTTTCTGTGCCTGTAAGAGGCCCTGGAACATAATATGCACTTAATAATAATTCTTAAATAAATGATTTAATAAAAAACTTGCAATCTATTTTAGGTAAATGCGTTTCTGAGACTATGCCTTTCAATTTTGTGATGCGTGCTCTGCACTGGTGCAGTGGTTCTCAGAGTGTGGCCTGGGGACCTCCCTGGGCACCCTTTTCAAATGGGCATGAGATGGAAACTTTATATATTTATACTAAAATGTTATTTGCCTTTTTTACTGTTGTTTTCTCATTGACTGTACAATGTAGTTTTCCAGAGGTACATGATGTATAGTCTCTCAACAGATTGAGTGCAGTATCAAATGTGAATATTCAGCTGCCTTTTAGTAAATTATACATAAAAAAGTTTTGCAAAAGTGATAAAACAGTGGCACTCCTTTTACTATTGCTTTTTAATTTTTGAAGATAATATTTTTCATAAAAATATTTGTTAACATGTAGTGGGGTTATTGCTGTTTTTTAAAAGCAATAGTAAATCTCTTATTTATCTTTTTCCTCATCTGAGGACATGCTTATTAATTTTAGAGAGAGGGGAAGGGAGAGAGAGGGAGAGAAATATCAATGTGTTGTTGCCACTCACATGCCCCCTACTAGGGACTGGCCTGGAACCCAGCATGTGTCCTGATTGGGGATCGAACCAGTGACCCTGTGGTTCATAGGCTGGCATTTAATCCACTGAGCCACACTAGCCAGGGCCATTTTATTTATTTTTCAATCTTCCCGGATAGTCTGACAACTTGTCACAACTCTCTTGATATTTGGCAACTCATAAAAATTAAAAAAAAAATTAACCTTGAAATATTTCTGGGAATTTTTTCTAAGTTAATTATTTTAAAATATGTAGAATTTTATATATATACAAATATGTGTACTCTAGCAGTACATGTATTCTTTATAGTAGGAAAATTTTTACTTATTTAACTTTTTACCTGAGGATATGCTTTATCGATTTTAGAGAGAGGAGGGAGGGAGGGGGAGAGAGAGGGTGAGAAATATCCGTGTGAGAGAGAAACAGTGACCATCTGCCTTTTGTACATGCCTTGACCAGAGACAGAACCCGCAACCCAGGCATGTGCCCTGACCAGGAATCAAACCCATGACATTTGGTTTATAGGACCACACTCTAACCAACTGAGCCATACCAACCAGAGTGAAACAACCTAGATTTTAACAGTAGGAGATTGGTTAAATACCTGATTGTACATTCAGATGCTTTGATACTAATGTAGTCATAAGATTATTTAAATATCTGGGAAATATTTATCATTTATCCATTTAATCCTAAAATAATGGCTATAAGGTCCTACATCAAAATGTTAATAGCTGTTTCTGGGTAAGTGGGATTTCATAAAGGATTTTTTTCTTTGAGTTTTACTGATTTCTTTCTGATTTTCTATTATAAGCATTCATTTCTGTTGTATTCAAATAAAACCCATATTAAATGGGAGGGGAGAGAGAGAGGGAGGGAGGAGTGTGTGTGTGTGTGTTCGTGTGTGTGTATGTACCATAGCTACAGTTAAAAGAGAGAAATGGCTGAAAACATAGTGTTTTGGTTTAGAAGCTAGAACTGTTCACTTGGGATCTCTGTAGTCAAAGCACTCCACTGACCAAACAGTGCATGATAAAGAGGCACTTCATCCCATTAAGCTGTTCGTTCTGACCAGTGTAGTTTGTATAAATCCCCTTTACACTTTTTGGTTTTGTTTCTATTTTGTAAGATTTATTGAAATTTATCTTTGCAGTGTTTGTATTAGGCCATGTTCTTGGCAGAGATGCAGAGCCTTCCCCCCCCTTTAAAAATTTTTTTAAAGATTTTATTTATTTATTTTTTGAGAGGGGAAGGAAAGGAGGAAGAGAGGGAGAGAAACATCTGTGTGGTTGCCTCTTGAGTGCCCCCTATTGGGCACCTGGCTCACAACCCAGGCATGTGCCCTGACTGGGAATCAAACTGGTGACCCTTTGGTTGCAGGCTGGTGCTCAATCCACTGAGCAACACCAGCCAGGGCTGTAGAGCCTTCCTCTGTACACTAATGTACTCCAATTTGCTGAACTTTTCAGATGTTTTTGTAAACGGAAAACACACAGTTTTTTTTTCTGACATGTTAGAATAGTTTGAGTTCTCTTAGGCATAAAATAGTGGTGTTAGTATATATATTTTTTAATTATTTGAATGTAAATTTCCATAATATACTTTATTCTTTGATTTTTAGGGTAGATGTGGAAATTTTCATAACAACCCATCTACTCTTTAAACAATTTTTTAATTAAAAAATTTTCAATTATTGTTGACATAATATATTAGTTTCAGGTGTATACCCTAGTGACGAGACATTATATAACATACTAAATCTCAATACACATTTGACACCATACATAGTTAACCCATGTACTCTTTATCAAAAAGCCATAACCCATATTGCCTCATGTCTGCCTTATAAATAGGACCTAGAACTCTGAAAGAGTATAAAGTATTAGTTAAATTTACCTTGACTTTTTGAATTGTATGTTGTCTTGAGAATTGATTAGATTATATTCCTCAAATTGAAGCTATAAAACTAATTTATAAAATATTTGGTTGGGTAGAGCATTGAAAACTTACAGCTTTAACATTAATTAGGCTATCCAAACAGATACTGTGACCTTAGTCTTCTAAAACTTTGTTACTCATAGTGTGTTCCAAGGACCAGCAACATCTGTAACACCTGTGAGCTTGTTATGCACAGTCTCAGGCTCCACTTTAGATGTGCAGCCAGAATCTTCATTTTAACATGATCCTCAGGTGCATATTAAAGTTGAGAAGTATTGTTCCAAAAGATATTTTTTAATCACCTTTTTTTTTTGAAGTGAACAGGTGAAATAAAGGCTACTTCTTATATTCCCTGGGCAGTAAACACTGTTCAAAATGATAAAAATAGGAGATAGGCCTACAATGGTTGGAAAGATTATATGATGTCTAATTAGTATGGACACATTGGATAAAATAAAAACAAAAGAAAAATTGTTCTTAGTACAGTATTCACCATTTGACAAATGTTCACAATTTGACACCTTTTTGGGGTCATTTTTCTTGACTTTTGGAAGAAAGAACAAATAGTCTTCTTCTGGCATTCTAAAATGTTTAGTTGGAAAGGGATCTTGAGAAATGACCTGACACAAAAACCTTCATTTTACAGATGAACAAACTGGGGACTAAGGATGTTAAGTGACTAACCAAGATTACGTAGCTTGGACTCTCCGTGTCCTGATTTTCAAAGTACTGCTCTTTGCACCTCCTAAGTTACTCCTCTGTGTAACTTATTGCTGAAGGCCATATTGTTAGTTGCTTCTGTTGATGCTGGTTGAAACCATACAGAACAATTTTGCATGAGAATGCTACATATTCACACCTCAGGACATCTTGGGAAAGTGGTGGAGGCTTACTCTCTTCTTTCCTTTCTGTGTGAATTCAAGTAATGGCTTCAGAAATAGACATTTACTTGTCTAGAAGTTAAATTGCTTCTTCTCTGAACCATTGGGGTTTGCTGCTCAGGCCTGTTCTCTCTGAGGTGGAAAGGTACAGGGGCATGGGGAACATGTGGAAATTTTCTGTTCTGCTGAAATGGCAGTAGTTTTGAGTATTTAGAAGTAGTGTTTTATTTTTCTTTGTTTTAAAAAAGCTGATAAACCAGGAAAGGAAACCTTTTCAATAAAGAATTCTGGAAGAACTGGCTTTGTCCTCCCAAACTCCCAAAACGAACAAAACAAAAACCCCACTGAGCTTTACCTCATGCCATACACAAAAGTTACTTTGAAATGGTCTATAGACCTAAGTGTTAAAGCTAAAGTACACAAAGTGCATGAACTATAAATGAAAAATTCTTACATTGGACTTCATGAAGTTTAAAGATATTGTTTCCTCAATACAGGGAAGATTAGCATGGCCCCAGTGCAAGGATGACATGCAAAGATGTTAAGCTTTCCATATTAAAAAAAACAAGACATTGTTTCCTCTTTGTGCATTGTTGAAAATGAAAAGACAAGCTGGGGAAGAATATGTACAGTAAATGTATCTGACAAAGGTGTTGTATCTATAATGTATAAAGAACTCTTAAAACTGAAACCTAAGACATGAACCAAGACTTCCGATCAAGATGGCAGCATAGTAAACATAGTACTCACCTACTCCCACAAGCATATCAGAATTACAACTAAATGACAGAACAACCATCATTCAGAACCACCTGAAATCTGGCTGATTGGTAGTCCTGCAACTAGGGAATTAAAGAAGAAGCCACATTGACACTGGTAGTGGGGGTAGGCACATGGAATGCTTTGTCTTGCACCCACATGTGGCAGACAAAAATTGGGAGGGAGATCTTGGCTGCAGAGGCCCCGCTGAGGAATGAATGGAGTCAACCCCACTTCAGGCTGTAAAAACCAGTGGGAATTGAGGCCAAGGGATCTGGAGAGCTTCTGGAGTCCCAGGCAGTTTCCCTTAAAGGACCCAACATGGACTTACTTGGGCTCACTCACAGTGCTAGGGCAGTAGTTTGAAAGACACCAGAGACATATGGGGAGGAACTGAATTTTCTGGCATCAAGGTGAGAGCTACGGCAGGGCGCTTTCCCCCAGACAGAATTGCTAGCAAAGGCTATTGGTTCTTTTCTGAGCCCTCCCCCTATAAAACTGGCAGGAGGACACCCTATCTGAGACTCCATCAACCTGGCCTACATCCTTTGCCCCACCCTGGTGATTCCAAGAGGCATCACCGCACCCCACAAGTTGGGCCCATCCAAGTAATTTCCAGTGGCTTTTCCATACAAATGGCCTCTCTTGCCTTATGTTTTGGACTTTCCTAAAATCCTTCAAACAAGCAGCATCTGTTCTCAGTGTACCCATGTACCTCTTTTTTTTTAAATTTTTATTTTACTGATTATGCCATTACAGTTGTTCTATTCCCCCCTTCATTCCCCTCCACCCTGCACCCCCCACCCCTACCATTTCCCCCCTTTAGTTTCTGACTATGTGTTTCAAGTTCTTTGGATTCTATATTTCCCATACTATTCTTGTCCTCCCCCCTATCTATTTTCTACCTACCGTCTATGCTACTTATTTTCTGTACCTTCTCCCCCCTTCTCCTTCTCCCACTCCCCTGTTGCTAACCCTCCATGAGATCTTCATTTCTATGGTTCTGTTCCTGATCTAGCTGTCCTTTTAGTTCACTTTTGTTTTAGGCGTGGTTGTTAATAACTGTGAGTTTGCTGTCCTTTCACTGTTCATCTGTTTTATCTTTTTGTTAGATAAGTCCCTTTAACATTTCATTTAATAAGGGCTTGGTGATGATGAACTCCTTGAATTTGATCTTATCTGAGAAGCACTTTATCTGCCCTTCCATTCTAAATGAAAGCTTTGCTGGATAGAGCAATCTTGGATGTAGGTCTTTGGATTTCATGACTTGGAAAACCTCTTTCCAGCCCCTTCTTGCCTGTAAGGTCTCTTTCGAGAAATCAGCTGACAGTCTGATGGGAACTCCTTTGTAGGTGACTGTCCCCTTCTCTCTTGCTGCTTCTAGGATTCTCTCCTTCATTTTAATTTTGGCTAATGTAATGATGATGCGCCTTAGTGTGTTTCTTCTTGGGTCGAAATTCTTTGGGACTCTCTGAGCTTCCTGGATTTCCTGGAAGTCTATTTCCTTTGCCAGATTGGGGAAATTCTCCTTTATTATTTGTTCAAATAAGTTTTCCACTGGTGGCTGTTCCTTTCCCCCTTCTGGTACCCCTATAATTCGGCTGTTGGAGCGTTTAAAGGTGTCCTGGAGGTTCCTAAGTCTCTCCTCATTTTTTTGAATTCTTGTTTCTTCATTCTTTTCTGGTTGGTCATTTTTATCCTCCTTCTGGTCCACTCCTTTGATTTGAGTCCCAGTTTCCTTTCCATTACTATTGGTTTCCTTTGCATTTCCATTCATTTCAATTAGTTTAGCCTTCATATGTTCCTCTAATTTGTGACTAAAATCAACCAGTTCTGTGAGCATCCTGATGACCAGTGTTTTGAACTGTGCATCTGAAAGTTTTGCTATTTCTTCATCACTTAGATTTATGGGCTCTGGGGCTTTGAGATCTTCTTGAGACATTTTTGGTCTGTTTGGGCCTATTAAGTATGAGGAACGGAGCCTTAGGGGCGGGGCGGGGCGGGGCCTCCAGGGCGGGGTCGCTGGGTTGTGACACTGTATGTGGTGGCGGGGTCAGAGTGGGGAAATGGCGTCCCCTTCTCTTGCTTCCCACCGCTGGGTGAGGAGCGAAGCCTGAGGTGTTCACCAGGGTAGGGTCGCTCAGGTCGCTGGGTTGCAACGCTGTGTGTGGGGGCGGGGTCAGAGCTGGGAAATGGCAGTCGTCCCTGCTGCCTCCCCATAGCTGGGACCCACTCCCTCACCGGTCTATCTGTGCAGGAATGCGCCAGCACAGTCAACGCGCCGCCCTGTGCCCTCGCCAGATCTGCCGGTCACTCACTGGGTTGCACTCACTAGGTTGCTCACTGGGTCAGCCCTTTGCAACCCCACACCTGGGATCTGCTCGGCCGAGTCTGTCTGAGTTTTCCTGTGCAATCCTGCTCCTCCAGCTGCTGGTTTTCGCCCCTCTTACTGGTCAGGCTGAAGAATTCGTTATTATCAGACTTCCGAAAAGTTCAATTTTCTGTGTTCCGGCTGTGTTTTCTGTTGCTAATATTTTGTTGTCTCTCAACTTGGTTGTGTGAGAAAGCATGGCGTCTCCACCTATGCCTCCATCTTGGCGGAAGTCCCCCGTGTACCTCTTGATAAGTAATCTCAGGCTGGCAGTAGCAGCAGCCAGCTTTGGTTCTCAGCTTGGCCTTGTCTGGGTACCTTCAATCCCAGCACAAGTAGCAGCCATTGGGAGGGCCCAGAGCTAGCTTTGGAGCATTTTGAAGCACCACCACCCAACCACCTCCATAAGCAACACACTCAAGTGGCAGACTCAGTGGGCACCCGAGCCCCATCAAAGAAAGTAGTGCTCTGTGGCATGGGCCCCTGCACAGCCGATCCTCCACCATGGTTGATGGTCTCAGCCAGTCCTTGCAGGTGATTGGCCTGGGGATAAATCCCTTCTATTGATGTGCCAGCAGCAAACAAGAGGAGGGTGTACATAGCCCACAAGGCTTATCCACCTTGGGTGCTCAGCTTGAGGTTGTGTTATTGGACTCTACGGAACACTTACTACATTAGGCGACTCTATAAAGCCTGGGAGATGTAGTGGCACTAACTAATACATCATAACAAACACAGGGAGGCTGCCAAAATGAGGAAACAAAGAAACATGGCCCAAATGAAAGAACAGATCAAAACTCCAGAGAAAGAACTAAACAAATTAGAGATAACCAAGGTACTAGATGCAGAGTTCAAAATACTGGTTATAAGGTTGCTCAATGAACTTAGTGAAACCTTCAATAGTATAAAAAATGACCAGTCAGAAATGAGGGGTACACTAACTGAAATGAAGAATAATTTACAGGGAATCAGTAGTAGAGTAGATGAAGCCCAGAGTCAAATCAGTGATTTGGAATATAGTGGTACCTTGGTACTCATCATTAATTTGTTACAACAAGTGGCAAGTAAGAGACGATGGATGAAGTGTTTTCTCTTGTGGGTGGCATCATCACTCGTACAGGTTCTAGCAAGTATGATGAGTGATGAACAAGTGCTGAGTGCTGAAACATTTTTTCTCATCAAAATGTGACAAGTACCAGGTTTGACAAGTTCTAAAGCTGACAAATACTGAGATACGACTGTATAAGGAAGCATAAAATCCTAGTGAGAACATCAAAAGAAAAAAGAATTTTTAAAAATGAGGCTAGTGTAAGGATCCTCTGGGACAATTTCAGATGTAGCAACATTTGCATCATGGTGGTGCTGGAAGGAGAAGCGAGAGAGAAAAAGAAATTGAAAACCTATTTGAAAAAATGACAGAAAACTTCTCTAATTTGGTGAAAGAAATGGACACACAAGGCCAGGAAGCACAGAAAGTCTCAAACAAGATGAACCCAAAGAGGCCCACACCAAGGCATATCATAATTAAAATGCAAAGGTTAAAGGCAAAGAAAGAAGTTTTTAAAAATATTTTATTTATTTATTTATTATTTTTAGACAGAGGAGAAGAGAGGGAGAGAAACATCAGTGTGTGGTTGCTTCTCACTCTCCCCCCAATGGGGACCTGGTCTACAACCCAGGCATGTGCCTTGACTGAGAATAGAATCTGTGACCCTTTGGTTCGCAGGCTGGAGCTCAATCCACTGAGCCACTCTAGCCAGAGCTAAAGAGAAAATCTTAAAAGCAGCAAGAGAAAGGAAGTTAGTTATCTACAGGGAGCTCCCATAAGAATGTCACCTGATTTCTCAATAGAAACTTTGCAAGCCAGAAGGGAGTGGCAAGAAATATTTAAGTGATGAAAAGCAAGGACCTACAACCAAGATTAACCAGCAAAGCTATCATTTAGAACTGAAGGATAGATAATTACCCAGACAAAGTAAAACTAAAGGGTTTCATCACCACCAAACCAGTACTATGTCAAATGTTAAGGGGTCTTCTTTAAGAAGAAGAAGAAAAGATAAAAAAAATATGAATGATAAAATGGCTATAAATACGTATATATCAACAATTGAATTTAAAAAACAAAACAAAGAGGCAGAGTAGAAACAGGCTCCTAGATATAGAGAACATTTTGACAGTTGCCATACGGGAGGGTGGTTGTAGGGATGACTGAAAGAGGTGAAGGAATTCAGAAGTACAAATTGGTTGTTACAAAATAGTTATGGGGATATAAAGTACAGCATAGGTAATATAGTCAGTAATATTCTAGTAACTATGTAAGGTGTTAGATGGGTGTGAGATATATCAGGATGGTCACTTAGTAAGTTATATAGTGTGTAATCACTGGGGTGTACACCTGATATATAAAACTAACAATGTATGTCAACTGTA